AAAAGTCATCTTCTCTCAAGTTAAAAGAATATATGACCAATCCCTTCTACCTAATTCTATGCGTGTTTTACATACATGAAACACGTTTCTAAAGTGATGGGTGTATAACGGACTGAATATCATCTGATAATTTAAAAATAATGAGACGCAAGACACTTGAATTTGAAAACTGACAATATAAATGATATTCAATTTGTATGCATCACGTTTCTCGTTTTCTTAGCATACCATCGCTTACGTCAGTTCATCTTGTTGACTGACCATTATAAAAAAAAACTGTAGACAGCCAAATTATCACTGAAACATTAATAGCTGTCTCGACGAAAGATTGTCAGTTTTTTAATTTTAATTAACTTTGATGAATAGATAGCAACAAACTACTAAAGCCATTATATTGCAAAATTTCTAAATAAACAAGTCAATTTACTGAGGAATGCCACTGATCTTGTTTCGAAATATTTTACAGATTTTTTAAATCACAAATAGAAAGGTAGAAACAGAACTACTGCATGTTGCAGGAGCTTTAAAAGAATAATTTTTCCTATATTAATCGGCGTTACACATATCATGTTTCAGACCTCACACATATTGAGTCTTCAACTCTTGATACTACGTTCTGTCTGTTCTGTTTAAAATATGTTTCTCCGTAAACCAGCTGTCGCACCCTTACGAACGACAACCCTCAGAAGTCGAAACTTGTGCGAGCCATGGATTAACGAGGTCTTAATTTTTTTTGTTATCGGCATCGAGAAGGCCGTTAAAAATGCTACTAGTTTGCCCATTTAACCGATTTCGTAGCATCAATAATAAAGGAGTTGGCAATGGTGCGACTTAATTTGGAACACCCTGTATAAGTTTCACAATGTGATACTAATAATAATTATATGATAATAATAACTTTTATTACCTTTTCGGTCGGTCGGTAGCCGGTTGGTTTGACGTGGGTGCTTTGTTCACTCACTCACATCGACCGCCGTGTTGGTCGGTGGTTCAAGCCCTAGGCTGAACGATCGATTTTCACTTGCTATCATCCAACCCGTATTAGGAATCATACGTTGAAAGGTAAGACCTCGTTAGTCTTTAGCTCGCACAAGTTTCGACTTCTAAGGATTGTCGTTTGTAGGGGTGCGACAGCTGGTTACCGGAAAAACAGATTTTAAACAGATTTTTTTCAAACAGATTTACAGAGCAAAGTATACATGATTGAATTTTTTCATAATATTTGATATAAGACAAAAAAAAACTTAAGAAAAAACCATACAATTAAAGGTTGTGAACGTTTCATACTCATTGACATAGGTTCCAAAGTATCATTGTACCTAGTCTTGGAACACAGATTTCAATTTCTGATAGTAGTCTATCTTGCCGATCAATAACTTATATGAAAAAAAAACAGCTGCCTGCTTTCTTCGTTTCTCTAAAATTGAATTCATAAAGCAGATCAGAGTAATTACAATTTCTTGGGGGAAAAGTTCCAATGATTCTGAAATTGAAGAATTTCAGAAATTTCTTTTATACTCTATCATGTAGGTATATTGTTGTACATGGGATTCCATATCATGGATCCATATTCTAGTTTTGACCTCACCAAACTGAAATACAGAGAAGTTAGTGTATGTATATTATGGAAATTTTTACAGTTACTTACAACTGCGGTAAGCTGAGTTTATAAGGTGATTAATATGGTAATTGAACGTCAGATAATGATCAAAATAGACTACTCAATCTCGGATATTATTTGTTCTCTCCCATATCATGTTATCAATGTGGTAAAGAAATTGCAATCAGGTCCGTAGCGAAAATAAAAACCAGGGAGGAGGGAATCCACATTTTCCCAACCCCACCAGCAAAATTCACCAACTTTCGAAAAAATGAAAGCCGAGGGATTAGTTACTACTATAATATATTAATTTTCTTACTTTAGCTATCCAAAGATTGGCTAAATGATTACGCCCGTTAGGGTATGCACAAACAAAAATAAAACTTGGTAACTATAAAAATAATAACGGGAATTATTCTACTTTGACCAAGGTCCTTGGTCTTCCACCATATCCACCATGTATAGAAATATTCAATACAAATGAAAGGAAACGACACTTAAATAATATAGTGCTTATTGTTTTCTACTATTATTTTTTCTATCTTCAGCGCCCGAAATTTCCCAACTTTTCCAAGTCGAAAAAACAGCGAAAAGTTGTGAATTTTGCAAAATTGTCACTTCAAAATTTGTGAACTGTTCAGGACTGTTCTCTTACTGATTTTTTTTTCTATCTTCACAGCCTAAAATTTCCCAACTTTTTCTCAATTCGAAAAAGCATGGGAGACTTTCCCGCATCCCCCGACAGCCCTGATTGCAATGAATTGAATTTTCGGCTCAATGTCACAGTTTCAACTCATATGTGTATTATACTATAATTCCCAAATGATAGGCTCTAAACTCCCAGAAATGACTGACGCTTTTGTCTTAATCTGCCTCTTGCAGTGGCGTGCGGAAATTATACCGAACAGATGAGGAAAAATGATGATAAACTATATAGAATCACAACTTTGACAACAATGTTTTTGTTTTAATGCAATTATATTTCTGAGAGTTTAGTGTCTACTATTATGGAATTGTACTTCTATCTCTTTGTATTCTAAATAATCGTAAAAATCTAATAATTATTAGTGCGTTGTATATTTGAAAGAATATTTTTGACCTGTGAAAACACCAATTAATTGATATTCTGAAATATTTGAGTGAGTTTGGCCTCTTTTCTACGGCAGCATTTCAAAGAGAAACCGTCTGTGGATGCCGAAGAAACGCAAATTGTGTATTAGCTTTCTTCATTAGATATTCCAAAACATCAATTCGTGAAGAATCAATCACGATTATCATTTTCGTCAGTAAAGATGAATCTGGAAACACATAAATGAGAACTGTGAATAGCTAATAACCAAAATGCAAGGAATTAATAATTTTGTTATAAGGACAAACATTTGAAAATATAAAATGATGGATCGTTATAACAATGAGTTTCCTCTAAAAAATTTTCATTTTGTCTGGCAAAGAGAGTTGCAAGATTCAAGGAAGTTCAACGTCTTTTGTAGGTTGAAATGTATCAGTAACGTCAAATAAAAACCATAATGATGTTTTTTACATATAGTCAGTGAGCATACTTGAAGACTGGCTATAAATCAGATCATCTAAAAGAACAATTCGTTCAGGCCAGTCTCAACTCACCTACGCTGTAGGTTAAAGGACTGATACCTATCAGTTACAGTTAGTTACAGTTACTCCTCTGGCTAATACTGGACCGGGGCCGGGCACTGACGAGAGGCCAAATAGCTCGAAACCGGTCTGCAAGTGTGCCAGGAACAGAAATTGTAAATCGATTCCGGCAGTTGTATCGCCAGCATTATACGCAGGGAATACTTGTGTGAAAATTCCTGCACTGACACCCGTCGAATATAATACGATGCCTTTCGTGGTATTAGCCAGGGGAGTACTTGTTTTCTGGCAGGTGTTAGTCAATTAACCTCCGGTGATAGTAGAGACTGATTTTAACGAATTGTTCTTGTAGATAATTGGACCATAATGATAATTTTTACTTTTTCATCACAGATAATAAAGTGCTATATATTCATTTTTATGAAGATCATATGGATCCAGGACAGTACTATAAATAATCAATACGGTAGTTTGAAAGAAATGCCAGAAGCCGAGCGACAGAAAACATGGCATCAACAGGATGGTGATTCATAATAGATAAAGTATTGATATAATTCATCAGGAAAGATGGTTAGCCAGTAAAGGTCCATACCTTTGATCACTTCGTTTACCAAAAGCAATGCCACTATTATACGAGTATGGCACATAAAAAGGTGTTTCTTTTCTCTGCTTCTGGAGTTATTTCAAAAGTATTGTATGTATGTAAAAGGTTTCAAATATACCAGGTTTAGAAAAAGTACTTCTTGACCAACTTTGATACCGCAGTCCATGATTTTTTTAAGTATCATCTTCAGTACAGCAAATCATAGTTCAGTGTCTAGTGTTTCAATTAAAAAGGGAAATGTGCAAAATATCGAAGGAAACCCAGGAAACCTTGAGCTATTTTAGTGCCAGCTAGGTTATGAATTACTTAAGTGCTCTGAACTTGTCCAACAAAAAATAATGTTTCAAATAATGTAGTTACTGCTTGTAAATACTTTTTTCGCCGCTAATAACCATAACGTTGATGCGGATATTTTCAATTAAAAAAAACTGATTAAAGATACATATAGTTCATACGAACATTTTCCCCCAGAACTTTCTCTTTTTGATACCTTTCAAGCTAAAGTTATTATTCACCAAATCTCCAATCAGTGACAATCTCGAATATCAGAAGGTGGTAATTTATTCAGAAATCGCTGGAAGTAATATTTATACAAATCCGACAAGGGAAGCAAACTTTTCCCATGGCGAAACGTCGTTTCAATAAAAAAAAAGTACTTATTAATTTTATATTATGAACCACACCACGATATGATGAAGTACCGAACACCCTTGAGGCCAAAAAGAATGTTTTACTCGTTTAAAATTCGAGAACGGTGTCGGTTATCAGCCAGGCCATAACCCAAATCTCAGACCCGAAAAACAATTGAATGCTTGAGAATCAGTTCTTTTGAAATAAGGTGATATTATCGGTTCATGTTTGGTTTCACATGCTCGATTGTATGTATAAAAAATTAGTAATATATGATCAAACCAGGTCTTACGAAATGTACAAGGTTGTCGCAGAGCCGACTATGCTAAACTTATTTCTATCAGTTGTGTTATGAAGTAAGCAAGTAAATTGAACATTCAACATCAAAATTGAGATTCACAGAAGGGGTGGTTTCTGATAACTTCGTTTCTAAATTATTGAAAAATTCTTAGGTTTCATAATAAACGATCAAGAAAATTATATAATTTCTCATTAAAAAAACTTCACTGAGCTGGAGGAAGAATTGAAATAGCATTTTCTTTTGTTACAGACCGGATATATTCGGACCTCGGATAGTAGTTATTATATTGAACCTGCTGAAGTATTTCACAACGGATCCACAGGAAGCTTGATACACAGAATGAAGAGAGTACCTCTTCCTACGAAAGATTTCAACGATATCAACTCGATGGAGTTTTACGAGAATTCTGGTGAGTGAAAGGTTTGATGAAATATTCAACACATTTTTCACAACACATTCAATGGGCTTGTTTCATGATTTTTGGTTTATAGTTCACTTGATAGAAATTTCAAATTGAAAAACAGTACACTTTGTTTTAGCTCTCTAAGTACCGTAGTTTTCCCGTAATTAATTATTGAAAACCGAATGTGGTAGGCTGGTGACGTCACGGCCCTATT